ACAAACTGAATGATCCAGATGGCTGGTCAAGCAAATCCTTATAATGCAGATTTATCCAAAGAATCTGAGCATGCTGCTGAATTCCAGATACACGTTCGCCACTCAAGAGAGGAAAAAACTGGTGCATGTCATGGTGGACTTCTGTCAGGAAGTTACTGCAAAGAAATCAAAGAACTGTTTACACTAGCTTGGCCCACAGTGTTATCTTACTTCTTTTACCACATGATTCACATGATCAGCTTGTTTTTTGCTGGGCGCGTTGGCAAACTAGAATTGGCTGCTGGAACATTAGCTTTATCTTTTATCAATGTGACAGGACCTTCGCTGTTTATTGGCTTGGGTTCAGCAGTAGAGACACTTTGTTCTCAAGCATTTGGAGCGAGGAATTATCGCCTTGTTGGTGTAGTGCTGCAAAGAGGAGTTTGGATTTTAGGATTAACTTGTATCTTAGCCTGGTCACTATGGGTTAATACTGAGTTGCTTTTGTTGCTGGTTCACCAAGAAAAACATGTCGCAAGGTATGTTTTATTTAAAGAAACAGCTGACACTTAGCAACACCACTGCAAATTTCCCTTTTGCAAATGTTCGCTGCTGCCATTCTTAAGAGTGTTTCTATTAAGAAGAAAGAAGTTTGCAACCCAGGGTTGAACCTGGACTTTTTGTATCTAATCTCTCCCCCTTGCTACTTCACTACCACACCATATTGCCAAAATTCCATAAAATTTTTAGTACATAAACTAGCAAACTGTCTTTCTTAGCTAATACTTCTCAAACTCATTAATAATTTATAAAAATTAATGTTTCACGAGTGTTCGGTGTTCGGATGAAAAACTGCTCATTTTTGTATCTTTCATTTCTCCTTCTAAAATCCTTTTGTTTGAGAAGTAATAACAAGCATTCAACAAAGTGTTTCATCACCAGATGAGACACCTCGAAGTTTGTCAAAAATACTCCACTGCGCGTTGTATTTTCAACTCTCTTCTTCTCTCCTCATCTGGTGATGGAACACTGCATCTCATGCTGGATATATTACATCAATAACAGGTGACCCAAGCCCTTTCCATAACTTTTAACCTAAATTCAACTAAGGTTTCAATGTCGTTCTTTCTAAGACTATTCAAAAACATATCATTTGCCTTATTAACCAACCACCCAATTGTGATGAAATAGATATTAAGTACAACTAAGAAAATGCTGGGGACCAGTATCTGGAAGGTTGTGGCCATGGATTTTGATTCCAGCTGGGGGCTAGGATTTTTTCTTCTAGCATTTCTTAGTTGTACTTCATATTTGCCCTGTTGTAACTTAATCCAGGGAATATATTGCATCTATCACGACTAAAGGCTTGGTTACCAGTGGTGGCATCGACCGTTAAAAATGACAACCACTGTTTTTGGAAGTGAACTAGGTGACGGCGGCAATGGTTGCCTGCAAAATGACATCCAAGGAACGAGTACAAAAATTCCATGATGATATTACATTACTTCCCAGACCTGGGTAGTGCCTCTGACTGATAGTAGCGAATTTCCTTCATGGCACAACCAAATCAGAAGTAGTACCCAGATCTTGGTAAGGACATTGTTTTATTCCACCAAGCCTCGTTGCCAAGTCTGAATTTTAATATAGTGTATATCGAAAAGGGTCAATTGTTGAGTTCAACATGGCATAACATAACATGGCATAATTTTTCATTAACACTCAATTTGTTTTAACTTTTCATAGGTTGACCCAAGACTTTGTCCTCATATGTATACCTGCTTTAATAGTTAGTACACGGACTTCAGTTTTATTACCATTAACAGAAGTTTTTTGTATTTTGTTCACTTCAATAATATATAACTATATCTCCTTTGCCAGAAGCCTTTTCTTAGCGGCTTAGTACATAATTCCACTGTATATAATTATTATGAGCTATGAGTTAAAGGATAGAAACTTAAATCCTTTTAATTAATCATCTTTTTGCTATTTTTTTTCTTTATTAAATAAACAGGGGAATTTTTTGTTTGTCTTGTTACAAAGATATCTTCAGACACAGGTGTGTTCAAAGTAAAGTAGAATAAATTAAACAAGATTATTTTTAATCTGTAACAATACTTGTATACACTGGCAAATGATACTAAAGTCAAGCAAAGCCACCTGGGAACTATTTTAAGTTGTTTTGCAGTGTGAAGTAATAACAACATAGACATAACATATTTAAATCAGAAATTCAAAGCCCTTTCTTTTATCTATAAAAAAGGAGGCCCGTGCCCCCTTTGCCCCCCCCCCCCCCCCCATTGTTCAGTTGTATGTGCTGTTGTTTTCATGCTTCTTAGCTTTTTTGACAGTTCCAATTCAATTATTGTACTGACACCTACAGAAAATTTCTGTAGAGTATGTTATGGTTAAAACAAAATTTCAGCAAGAAGCAACAGTACCAACTCTTCAGTATGTACACATATGAGCAGTACCTTACCCATGTACACAGCTACATCACTTGGAATTGGTAGTGTATGATTTTGGTTCCTTCCACAAATGGCCATTTGTTCCGTCCCCTCAGAAAAAAAAGTACTTAATTTGGCCCCTGTACACAACATGCCAGATGAGGTCCCAGTCTGAGTTGCCCAGGTATCGGTTGTTCATTGCAAACTCAGAGAGGTCTGTTAAAGGCGCAACGTGGAATTTTGAAGACGTTTGCGCTGAAATAAAAGCTGGAGTGCCGAAAGTGCTCCAAACCAGAGAGGTTTGGGGGTACGCTCTCCCAGAAAATGAATGATTAATTAAATAATTCTTGACTTCTGCTTTCATACAATGTATGATGTGAAGAATTATCCAGATCTCTGAGGCTGTTATCCACCTTGGCCTTTGCCTCAGTGGATAACAGTCTCCTCAATCTGCATAATTGGACTATTGCATGATGATGTCACTTTATTACAACTACACAACAATGTATACCAGAATTTTTTCAGTTTGTTGCTTTCTTGTGCAAATGAGAGCTATGTTTTTTGAACCTCAGTGGGATTGACAAATTTAAAATAAAAAATAACAAAGCACAAATGAAATGGATTGTGGTAGTTGTAGTCAAATGTCGTTACTCTGAAAATGGCCTATTCTTCAAATCATACTCAGCCTCACTGAATGATACTGCTGAACTACAAATGAATTATTATGAGTAATCTTTTTATTTAATCAAACTTATATTGAAAATAGAAGTTGCTGGTTGCCTGTAGATGACAAACTGAATGATCCAGATGGCTGATCAAGCAAATCCTTATAATGCAGATTTATCCAAAGAATCTGAGCATGCTGCTGAATTCCAGATACACGTTCGCCACTCAAGAGAGGAAAAAACTGGTGCATGTCATGGTGGACTTCTGTCAGGAAGTTACT